TCGCACGGTCGGGTTCGTCCGCGCCAAATGCCTAGCTGCCAGATGCAAAAGGAGCTAGCCCGGTGGTACCGCGATTGAGATTCGACCCCCGTATCAGTGGGGTGAGAGTCAAATACCGGTACCTACTGGGCTAGCTCCTACCACGGTAGAGGTAGGAGCAGCTCTTCTATAAGAAGAGCTTGCTCAGTAGCTATCCCCCCCCCTTGCCGGTGGCCTTGCAGGCCCTGCCTGCCTGAAGCCTAATAGGCTTGCTGGCAGGTCCTACCCCGTTGGCTGGCCGCGTGACCTCGCCATGGGCCTATCAACCCCCTGGCTCGATGTCAACCCCTGCGGTCCAAGAACTAAACCCCTTCTACCTATTCCCCTGCGCCACGGCTCTATACCCGGCGCATCCCTCTTTTTAGCCTACTTAGGCCTTGAATAGGTCTAACTTTAACGTTCTCATGTCCGCACTTTCCTGTGGCTTCGACAAAAGCGAAGCATTGCCATTCACATCCGTTACTCCACGCGTATGAACTAACGTCTGAAAACTTTTAGTTGCTCAGTCATAGGTCAGATCTAAGCAACTTTTGGCAAACGTCAGTCTCATCAAGTCTCATCAAGTCTCATCAAGTCCTTCAATTCAATAAAAGGGTCGGACAACGTCCGCCGTTTAAAATCCCCGGCAAATACCCTTGTCAGGGTATTTGCCCCGACAACGTGTTAGATCACGTGCCACTCACTAAGTTACTAGGGTTGTCACTGCTCTTCTTAAAATGAATTCTTTACGAGTGTCACTATCACTTCTCTTAATCTCACTCTATTTTTCGCTTGAGTGGTCCGACAGATTTCTCTTGTGTCCAATCTTGAAGGGCCATGAAACGATGAACAGACTACATCTTCTGCGCTACAAGCACAGTTGACTGGATCAAGTGCAATAAAAAGAGAACAATTACTATTCAGTGAGACGATGAGCAAACAATAGGAGAGGTATCAGGTAAGGCTGCTGCTACAAATTTCTTGGTTTTCCCTTGGTAGTCTCCGCAACTAAATCCTCAGATAAGGCTTTAATTCCTTTGGACACCCTTTCTCTTTTATTTTTGTTTTCTTGTTCAAGAAGATAGGCGTGGTCTCATTGATCGACTTTGAACGGGTTCTCATCATGTGTTTACCGTTGATGGTGTGTGATAATAGAGTCAACTTCTAGCCAGACTAAGCGAGCACGTTTAATCCCATAATTAGCGAGCAATGTTAACTAAGCATAGCCTATAGACTGATTGAATGGTAAAGTCACCACTTCATTAAGACAGGGAAGAAGATATGATTATCGGGGAAACGCTTTCCTTCAAATGGGAAGGAAAATAATTTTGAGGAAGACTGCCTACTTCCTTGGTAAATTTCTCCTAGTTGGTGATTGATGGCTCCAAAGTTTTTTTTTTTTGGCTTAGTTAGAGATGTGTAAACTTAACTATGACGAACCTCGGGCAAGAGAGAGAGCAGGCAAGTTGTTCACGCCTCCCCACTTTCACACACGAGGGGCTAGCCATGCTACTGATGGGCCAAAACCCCATTCTTAAAGAAAATCATTTAGACCGTCTGGGACACTCTCAACTGTCCCGGAGAAGAGATTCCTTGAGTGCCCTCGCTAGTCCCTGATTTGTGAACGAGATTTTGACCCTGTAAAGAATTACGACCTTGTCCACTTTGATATGAAGAGATCATGAACTTGACCATGATAAATCTTGCACTTCAAGTGTATGCGTGGGGTCTTACGCGGTACATGCAACGAGGGTAACCCTCGTTGGGACGTAATGAATTGGTAAAGCTTGAAGGTAATTGTGTTTGAGAGACATGTGTCGCTCTATCCATGCTCGATGTTACACTTGGGAGAAACTTGCTGGTAGCAGGTTAGAAACCGTGCTTATGGTGTATTGGTGTGGACGACAGGCATACTGTTGAAGCACCTGAGCTACATCTTGCCTGATTTAAGACGTGGTAAAAAAACTTTCATCTAAGTTGCAAGTGGTCTTGTTCATCACTAGTCCTTATAACATACTACTTGCTGTCAGCTTTGGTTTAGCTCATTCACTACCCTGTGTTTTATAACTAATGTCCAGTATGGTAGTCGTCGTGGCCTAACTATAACCCGTAGTGGATGATTGTAATGCACTTCGTGCAGCAAGTTACCTAAAAGTGAGTGTCTTTAGCAGTAAGGGAGGAATCTTCAATGCAAACTGAAAACAGGTAATCAGTTGCGGCGACGGTAGTGTGATATTGGTTTCACCTGGAGATATTTGACTAAAAGAGGCTTATCTCTTGCCTTTCATTTAAACAGACTCTTGTATTCACACGAACAATAAGTGATAAAAGGGGAAACGTACGTTTTAAGGACATCCCGGTTGTGTTTTGCGCCTTGCTAGGACCAAGGGGAAAGTTGGCGAGGTGACCTCACTGATTGTTCTCTATAATATCATAATGATGTCAGGCTAAACGACCCACTCGACAAAAGCCCCTCGACGTTAAATCAAGGCAGAACTGTTGAAAGTCCTAGAGTTGTGAGTTGTCGTTCACCCTAATATACGAGACCTATTAGATTGCTGGTTATTCCCTTATTCTCATTGTGCCCTATTCGGGCTTGGATCCCGGGTCAAAGAGGGGATTGGCAAGAGGAAGTGGACCCAGAAGTGAAGTTCAAAGCGAAGATTGTAAAGCTAAAGGACAAAAAATTCGAACTAGAAGCAATTAAACTGTATCATAGGTCTGGATCTGACTCGTCATCGTCTTTTTGTTGTATGAGTTATCCAACCTTTAGATCAATGGTCTCTAAGAAGTTGGATCAAGATGTGATGATAATGCTCATTAAACGAGTAGGTAAATGTTCCTCATTCTACCCACCTTCTATTGAACAGCTCTCATTCGAGTTTAAAGACTTGCAGGATGAACCGACGGGAATCATTGAGCGTGCTATTAAGCACACTATTGAGATAATTCCCGGTAGTAAGATTCCCAAATGTCCCATTTATCGTATGTCTCCTAGGGAACTTGAAGAATTAAAAAAACAGTTGCAAGAATTACTAAAAAAGGATGGATTCGCCCAAGTTCATCTCATATGGAGCTCCTGTTTGATTCATGTCCAAAAAGGAAGGTGAACTTGGACTCTATATTGACTATCGAGGGTGAACTCCGTCACTATCAAAAACGTGGAACCACTTCCACGCATTGATGACTTGTTGGATCAGTTGCAGGGATGCAAGTACTTCAGTAAGATAAATCTTAAGTCAAGGTACCACCAAATCGAGGTGGCTCTTGAGGATCAACAAAAGATAGCCTTTAAAACCAGGTATTGTCACTACGAGTTCGTGGTTATGCCGTTCGGGCTGACTAATGCTTTTGCTACCTCCCCGAGGTCTATGAATGAGCTGTTTCGTCAATGGATGACTAACGTGGTAGTTGTATATCTCGATGATATGCTCGTGTATAGCAAGACACTTGAGGATCACAAGAAACACCTACGAATGGTTTTTCAGAAGTTGTGCGAAGGCAACTTCAAACCGAATCCTAAGAAGTCTGAGTTTGCTAAGCCTTAGGTGTTTTACTTAGGGCATATAGTAATCGAAGAGGGACTAAGGCCTGAAGAGGAAAAGATCATAACAATTCGAGATTCGCCCACACCCAAAAGTGTTACTGAATTCAGATATTTTCTAGGACTTGCTAGTAAGTACAGAAAGTCTGTAAGGAACTTCTCATTGATAGCTGCACCTATGAGAAGACTTCTGAAGAAGGAAACATCGTGGCTATGGGACAAAGATTGTGAGCCTTCGTTTAAAAGTTAGAACATATTCTGACTCGTTACCCTGTCTTAAAGATTGATGATCCTTCTCTCTTTCATTGTCACCACTGATGCAAGTCAGTATGGAATTGGGGTTACGATACAACAGGATGACGGTAAGGGATATAGATCTATAAAGTTTATGTCCAAAAAAAACTTTCGTTTGAGAAAGTGGCCAACTCCACTTATGAAAGGGAATTGTATGCCCTAGTCGCTGCACTGGACAGATGGAAGCACTACTTGTTAGGGAGGCATTTTCAGACCACGCGACCTTGAAGTGGATCAAAACCCAACATCGACTCTCTGACAAGCTATTTAGATGGTTCGCTTTTATAGACATATTTGACTTTGAATTGAAGACTATTAAAGGAAAGTCTAATGTGGTTGCGGATGCTTTGTCCAGGCATGCAGATTTCTTTGGAACAATTGTTTCCTACCTCGATATTGGGAATGACTTGAAGTAGCAGATTCGGAAGGGTTATGCACGTGATCCGATATGAAGTCCTATTATTGGGACCCTATAGAGAAACCTTGAACTCTTCCCTAAATATCGAATGACTGATGGTTTACTTTTCGTTATTGACAAGACCGAAAAAAGACTTCGCATTCCACACAAAGAACCAATCAAGAGTATGATTATTGGGGAATGCCATGACGATGAGGGACTTGTCCGAGAACGCTTTGAATGGAAGGGAATGAAGGAAGATGTGCTAACATATGTGAGAACTAGATTTGTTTGCCAGAGGAATAAGCCCTCACACGAGAATTCAGTGGGACTATTGAGACCGCTACCTATTCGAAGTGAGCTAGGTGAGTCTATTTTTATGCACTTCATGAGTCTCACTAAGAGCCGAAATGGTAATAGTCAGGTAACAACCATTGTGGATTGATTCTCAAAGTATGCCATGTTCATTCCTTTGTTGGCCGAAGCTAAGACTGAACCGGTCATCTAAAAATTTCAGATGCGACGGGTTTTGGAATATGGGTTCCCAAAGACCATCGTCCCTGATTGGTATGTAAGGTTCACTGGTCTACAATGGCAAAAGCTGATGGAAGCCTATGGCATTAGATTGACCATGTCGTCAGGCAGACACCCTAAAACGAATAGCTAGACGGAGCAAATGAATCGTTTGTGCCAGCAGCTTTTGCGCATGTATGTGCGACCCGATCAAGTGTAGATTGGGATGAGAATACCTAAGATCGCAAGTGCATATAATAATAGTATACATATTGTCACAGGAAGAACATCAAATGCACTGCGTAAAGGTTGGAAGCCTCGACATCCCATTGATGCTCTCACCCTGGACCAGATCAAGAGGTTACACCCAGGAACAAGAAAATTTGCAGTTCTGTATGAAGAAGGCATAAAGAAAGTTAATGAAAGTATACAGAAAGCCCAGTTGCAAATGATTTAACAGGCTAACAAGCATCGTCGTCCATCCCAATTCCAAGAAGGAAATCTTGTATGGGTAAAGTTTAAGGAGTTTTCCTTGGAAGAGAATGTGTCTCAGAAACTGCTGCCTGTTTTATGGACCATGGGAAGTTCTCAACGTGATTGGGGATACTAATGGACCTTCATACAAAATTGACGTGCCCCCACACCTCAAGACCTATCCTGTCTTCATGCGTCTAAACTCTTGCCATATGTAGAGGGACATGATTTTCCCAACAGACCGTCTATGTTCCCACCTTCCATGAATGGAGGTTAAGAGGTGGAGAAGATACTGGAACATGGTTATTTCTCTACAGGTGGCAGAGGCAGACCGCACAAGCAGTTTAAGGTAAAGTTTTTAAGTCTCAACCGCCATTCGAAGCTAGATGGTTTAGCAAGAAGGAACTATTACCTACTGCTCCTGACATTATTGCTGCATACTAGCATGAATTAAAAGAAAGATGATGTATTTCTGGGGTGGAACTCGAAAATTGGGCCGGCAGGAGTGCAATAAACCGCTCGGTATGCCTTGTTTGCATGAGGGGCACCCGCAGACCGCAACCCGGCGTAAGGCTGTGAAGGATCAAGGGGAGTAAACCTCCCGATATTGGCTTCAGGGCCTGTGTGCCCGACAGTTGACTTCGGTCAACTGCCCAGTGGCCCAGAGTCTAAGTCTACATGGACCCAGCTCAGGCCGCCGATCAGACACACACTTGTTTGTATGCATGTACCTAGACAACATCGGGAGCAAGTGGGAAGTCTGCAACTGTACGGGATCCAGTCCATCGACTGTGTGTCAATCTGAGCCACCGTGGGTGGGAGTCCTGAGGCAGGTCTACCTCGTCAAATGCTACATAAGGCCCTGCCTCCAGGGAGTCAACATTCAGTATGCTGACTAGATGCTGGCTTGACGCTGGCTAGATCGTGGCTGGACGCTGGCTGGACACTGGCTGTACGCTGGCACTGTGGTCGCGAGACTGCTGCTAGCTGCTGGCGCCTTCCTATCTTAGCCTCAGCCTCTGTTGACGTGGCGCAAACCACGTTGTCTTTGACATGGCTAACGTGGCTCATGCCACCCTGTCTCTATTGCTGACGTGGCATCTGCCACACTGTCTTCATTGCTGAGTTGGACAGGACAAGGAGGGAGATCGGGATCTGTGGATGATTGAGATAGAGAGATGATACTTACCTGCTGTTGGTGTTGATACTGTGCGCTGCTGAACGTCTTCACGGGAGACTGCGGCACGTGGCACTCGGATGTGATCAGGCCCTGTCAGGCTCGTTATTGGACACTGTTTGCTGACGTGGAGGCGAGGGGAAGCCCGGAGAAGGAGAGGGAAATGTTGGGCTACTATCTCTGTGGTCACTGATGGACACTTACTTTTCCATCCTCTAAACTGTCTATTAATGTTGGGCTACTATCTCTGTGGTCACTGATGGACACTTAACTTTTCCATCCCCTAAACTGTCTATTAATGTTGGGGCTACTTGGTCATTGATGGACACTTACTCTTCCACCCTCTAAACTGTCTATTCTTCCTCTCTCCTCTTCGTCCATTGGTTACGAGACTTTGTATTACAGATCACATTCACGGTTATTGGAGACATTATTCAGCACTGAGTTTTCTTGTGCTTCGACATGTGACGAGTATCCTCCTGACTGGGTTCATTACACAAAAGTTGATTACATTGCAAATCTGAATTATGTTCACTTTCTATTTTTTGCACTGGGGCTGCTCGGAACCAGCCTGGGGGTCATGCCCGGCCGGGCAACTGGGCGCAGAAGTGTTGGATGCTCGGGCGCCCGGGCTCCCGGAAAGACAACCTAGCTAGAGACTGAACTTCCGACTACTTCAGTCAGACAGTTTACTGGTGAATGTTGGAAATGATTCCTCCTTCTCCTCCTCCTCCTCTTCCTCCTTCTCAAGGTGGCCCATACCACTGAGGTATACAGAAGAAATTGAACTGTTGAATATTGGAACTGGTTTCTTCTTCTTTTTCTTCTTCTCGAGGTGGCCCCTGTTGATGAACAGTCACACGTTTGTACCATCCATCCGCCTGCCAGGTATGGCATGCTGTTGCATGTTTTGGGTGTCCTGATCTTTTTTTGCCATGCTGCCTGATGGGGGTTGATATGGGTCCACTGGCCATTCATTTGGTTTGGACGACCTCCTTGGAAAAAGGCAGGGCTCAGCAAAGGGACACCCTTTTTTCACTTGGCCCGTTGGATTAACTATCTGACGGCCATTTGTCTTGCCTTTATTTATTTTTCTGCAGGGATCAACCTGATGTTCAGGAGATGTGGTGTTTAAGAGGTGGCTTCTGTCTTCTTTTGGGTGCGGACAGGGAGTAGCATGTCTAAATATAATTCTTTTGAGTGTGTTGTGATGTACAGGAGCGAGAGAGGAGGAGACGAGAAGAATTGGAACGACAAGCGAGGGAGGCTGCAGAGGAGGAGAGAAGGAAGGAGGAGGAGGAAGAGGCTGCAAGGCTTGCAGTGCAGCGAGCGGACGAAAAGGCGAGACTGTTGGAGCAAAGACGCAAAGAAAAGCAAGAGTCTCTGGGGTCAGAGCCTGAGAAGGGTCCAAATGTTACAACGGTATTGCGAACCCCCTGATTGTGATTCATGAATGGTGACTGCATGATGTAGTGCATAGATAACATATCCCTGTCTCCCAACTTATTTCGGGCTGCAAGTAGGAGAGAACTCACCCATAGTGGGTGGTTCATTGATTGAACTCATTGATCTGTAAAATGCCACCATCGATTCTTCTGCAATCAGACTCGTTTTCAAACACACTTTTCATGCATGTAAAGAGCAACGCAGCATACTGGCGACATGTGCCCACTCAAACTCAGAGATATGGCTTTCAGATACGAGTTCACTCTCAATTGGCTATGGCGACTTTAGCGCCCAAACATCTCACTGTTCATATACACTGGATCACCCTGGATATCCCACACGCATCACTCTAACACTCGAGCACACACACACACTCACTACTAACTACAGCTTTGGCAGCTATGGCTGCCTCTAACCTATCGCTATGCTAACTCCTCCTCTTGTGCCCACTGCGTCCTCCGGGCTCATCTGCAGACCTCCTTGCACAAGTCGCTGTGGCAGCGCTTCCGCATGGCTCACGCAGGAATGAATGAATGGCTGGGYGCTGCCTCTTGATTTATACTTCAGAAATTCGTTGGTCTGCCCTTTGCCATCGGCCCTTGGTGCTCACAGTCCCCCTGTGGTACTTGCTGGACTGGACTGGGACTCTCTAGTCCCTTCTGCTGACTGTAGGCAGTCGTACCGTCGACTCAGTGCAGTTGCACTGAGGTCCAACCTGTTGACCTTGCCACTTGTCTTCGTCTGAAAACGTGGGCCTACYTTAGACTCACCACTTGACCACTTGCCGACCTTCTAGAAGGACTAAAGCTAGGCCTCTGGACTCTACTTGGACTCCTACCTTACAGGTCTACAGTTCGAATCTCCCTACAGCCTACAACCTACGGCGACCTACTTACCACTGGCTATCGTGCAGGTCACGGGTTCAACTCCARGGAACTGTGCAGATACTGTACACAGGTAAGCTGAGGTCAAGGGATCGACCCCTGGGATCTGCATCGGCTACCGCCAAAGGTGAAAACTGTTTCACACCCACCGTCCTAAATTCGAGGTCCTCCGAGAATATTTCAATCCRAGACTGGACCTTTACCTTTCTTATCTCGTTCGTAAGCCCTCACTATGTCAGGGGCTGTCTCCAACAGTTCTGTTCTTGTGAACCAGCGGTCGTCTTCCGGCTCCTGGTAGGCAAACCGAACCTTATACTGTTTCTGGGSACGACCTCTACCTCCTGTTCTAAACACATCTTCGTCTACAATGCCGTCAATGTCAWATCTTCCATCCATATCCGGAGGGACCATGGATCTTCTCGAGGGGAACTGTTCACTTGTGACACACGGCAGCAACTTGGAAGCATGGAAGACTGGGTACGTGTGGAGGTGTGCTGGGATCTCTATAGTATAGGA